AAAATTTGTCAGTGTTACAGCTACTGAAACACAAAGTTGAATACAGGAGGACTGAACCATACAACTCAGCTGTGATCACAGATTGAAGCCTCTCTTCGTGGTCACACCATCACACTGCACAGCCTGCTAACCCAGCTCCAGGCTGCATTCCATCAAGTATCCTCTCTCAGCTCCCACTGAGCAGAAGGCAGCTTTCAGACCACCCTATTCCATTCAGCAACCACTGACCCAAACCCACCGGCACAGCCCAGGCAGACGACAGCCACAGCCTCCGCCCAAGCCCTTCCCCAGCTGCAGGACAGAACTGGGAGCTCAGCAAGAGCCACCACCTCCCTGCAGAGAGGTGCCGCAGTAGATGCAGCCTACAATACTTGTAAACGCTCACCTACAAGATCAGCAGCAGTGGAAAACAAAGGCTTCTTCCTCTCTTTCTTCAGACACAGCCTACACCACTTTTCTTTTTCTAAAGGAGACACCACGTGTGCTCTGTGAGGCAGCCTTAGCCAAAATCATGGACACTTTCACTACACAGATTAAGTTTACACAATTTCTCCCTCACCCTTCTCCACGAGCATCAGGACAGAGCCCAGCTGCTGTCACTGCTGCCACAGAGGCAGTGCATTGGGGAACATGAGAACCACCTGAAGTACCAGAAATAAAATGAAAACTGCTTTCAGGGAAACATGCATTTATTAAGCATTCCCAGTGAAAAAAAATCAACATCTTTTCAAATGTGTGTTTATTTAAAAAATCATTTGTGTACAAAAGTGTTTGTGTAGTTTTTATTTTCAAGACAAAAAAACACTGATGCTGCATTCCAGCCCCCCCACTCCATTACAGGCAGGCTGATGCACAAGAGCCCACCTCCTTCTATAGCTTTTTTCAGACTTCTTAATATATTTTTTAGGGTTTTAAGGTTTTTGTTTGGTTGGTATTTTTTTTTTTTAAGAAAAGTCAGAATTTCAGATGGAAAAGTGAAAAGCAGGGTTCTTCCACAGCTGACATCAGCATTACAAGGGCAGCCTCCTCCAGCCACCCCACAGCACCAGCAGTGGGCAGGTACAGCATTTTCACAGTACATTTCCTCAGCCGTTGAGTCACATCTCCCAGCTGACACCAGCAAGGAAAGGGTCAGCGCCACAGAGAGTTTGATGCCTACAAAGCAGGTAACAGCAGAGAAGGAACATCACAGTACAGTGCAAACAGGTTCTAAGATTTTGCTGAATGAGAGCAGATCTGAAAAGATGAGTTGCTAACTACAGAGCACTGCAGCTGGAATAACCAAGCAAGAAGCAAAATGCATTGAGGACAGCTGGGCTGATGTGGTTATGGCCAAACCAGCCGAGGATGCAGCACCAGCAGAAGAGCGAGCTGTGTGCAGTCACTGATGGCTTCAGAATAGATCAGAGAATGAGCAAGAGGCAAGAAACAGCTGCCCCTTCATCTAGCCACAGGAGAAGGCTCTGACTGGAAACTGAGAACAATTCACAGCAAGACCACCTACACAGCCTTCCCAGGCAAAGCCCGAGGCACTCAGTGAGCACCTTGGCTTCCTGCTGCAGCTGGATGATGCAATGGATGGCACGATGAAAGGGGGTCTCAGCTCATCAAGTCCTACAGAGCACAGCACAAGTGAGCAGCTGCACTCCTCCAGATGCTTTGGATCAACTTCTGCCATCAACAAATAGGGCAGGACAGGACACCCGACCTTCTTGAAGCTGCTTATAAGCAGACATGAAACCAAATGCACACTCCTCAATTGGTTATCCTTCTCCCCTTTGGGCAAGCCTCCAACCCTAAGCCAGCTTTTATTGGTATTCAGAAAGGAAGCAAGGGACATGCATACAGTCAAGCTTCTTCCCCTCACTCTGAAAACTGAACATTTCACATTAACAGATGCAGTAAACAAGAACTCTTGCTTGAAACTATGTTTTGGGTTTGATTTTCCCCCTCCTATTAAATCAGCACTCAATAGGCTTTCAAGCACCCAGTCTGATTCACAGCTTAAATTTGCATAGTTTGAATGTTTGTTACCCACACCACCCACTACAGGCTTGGTATCACCAGGTAAATTCCTTCCTGCCTATTTAATTCTTCTTTTATTCTGATCTGAAAGGAGAAGACAATATTCCTAGTCCATTAGCACCCAGCTCCACAGCTAAGTCCTGGGCCAGGCACAGCACAGTGCCCAGCTGGAACAAGCCTCACCAGAAAGCTGCTCACTCACACCCAGTTCTGGCACTGCTGGCTTGGCATGCTTTTTACTGCAAAAGGGAAGTTTGGAACACGCAGGAGTAGCACTACAGACTAAAACTTTCTGGAAGGATCCATCACTAAGCTTTGTCCAAGAGATCCCAGTTGGTCACAGCAGGAGCACAACTCCTTCACAGACACGATGAGAAAGCTGAGAGTTTGGCAAGGGGGAGTAGAGGCCAGAGATAGAGAGTTTGGCACTCACAGGAAAACAGAGGCTTTTGGCAACACAAAGGGACATTCCTTTATCTCTATGCAAAATTACACTTTGCTTTTTGAGGAAGTGGATGAGATGGGAGCTGCTGGTTCCCCACCACCCACTTCACCAGATGAACATTAAAACATTGAGCAGCAAGATCTGATGCTCTGGAAATCTGTATGCTCCATTAGCAACACCTTGTTTAGAAAAACTGGGCCATCTGGACTTCAGAATAACTGTTTCAAGCTGTTTTCTTAAATACTGAAGGAAGACAATACGAGATTTATTTGTAGTCAGCAAGCAGCTGTCCCCACAGTTCATAAAAATTCCTCTTTTAAGCAAGCAGAAAATGTGCGGCCCGAGCCTGAAGCAGTGACCGGTGTGGCAGCTCTGCATTGACAAACATGTAGGGCCCAGAATATGGCAATGCTCACACAAATAGCAGAACTACATTTTGTACAAACTCAGCGAGCTGAATGCTGATAGTACACTCCCTGGGGCTCAGCCTCAGCTGCAGCTGAACTAACCTTGTACAACCTCATTCCTATATTCAACTCTGATAACTATCGAAAAGACAAAAACACTCCTTAGAAAAGACTAACATGAGAACTCAAGAACTTCATCCCACTGATGTCTCATTAATGTTGGTCATCTCTCCTTCCCAGCTCAGGCCTTGAGAAGCTGCCCTCTGCCAGCACCTGAGCTAGCATCAAGGTATCTGCTGTAAAACACGTGGGGATGGAGGGCAAAAATAGCATCCAACACCTACACGTAAGGGAAAGGGGAGACAAGCATTCTTCTATGGAGATAAAAATGAGGTAACTTCACAAGAGAAACAGAACTCAATAGGGTGTTGTTTCAGTGGTGACCATGACCACCTCAAAACCACTTCCACTCTTCTTCCCTCCCCATTTTCCTAATTTACACACAGTTCAGGAAATCTGGGTATCTCTGGACATGTGCTTCAGTGGGCGCTCTTAGGAGACCGATCTCATCCAAAGACACATGCAGAAGCCCAGTCAGAAGTTTTATATCCCTTGACAACAATTTCAGAGTTCCTTCTTCTGATGAATAGCAGCGAAGAGCAAGGGAAAGCAGTCAGCAATTTATAATTACCACCAGGATAAAACAACACAACAGAAAAGGCGTTGATGTAATCAAGTTCTTACCCTGTACAACAGAAAACACAGCAATTTGAGGTTAACACTAGCGGCGTTCTGCCAGTTTCCTACCGTCCCTGGTTCTCACCTAGCAAACCAGCTGAACAGTAGCAGCTTCTTGTTTAAAAAAATAAATAAATATAAAGAAAGACGAAACAATTTGTTTCCTTTGGCATCTTCGAGAATGATTTACAATAACTCAAGAAAATCCAAGAAAAGTGATCACTGGCTACTCCTCAAAAAGCAGTATGTATAAGACTAAGCAAATGCATTTAGTATTGCACTGATATGAGTTAGAAGTATTTACTGTCTGTGCCACAAAGTATTTTAAGCTTGGACACATGGGACAGAAGAGTTCAGAGCACATCCCCGAAGAGTTAGGTCTGTACAGCTCTATTTTCTGGTTCTGTTCCACAACAACTATGCTTCAGACATTGATCAGGTACAGCGTTCCTGATCTCATCTAGTATAAACAAACACAGAGAGTGAAACTATTTCAGCCTGTACTTCGTAGTCCAAGAAAAATCCCAACCAGACGTACCTCCCCTCCCCACCCCCATTAATACACTCTTCAGGAAAAGAAACAGTTGCGGAAAAATGACAGCACTGACAAACCCCACCCTATTCTCAGGATTTCTCTGAACTTCCTTGTCAGATATATTCTCAAAAGTTAGCATCATATTCATAAAGACAATACAGCTCTCTTTAAATAGATGTACTAGTGTTTGAGGTTGCAAAACTAATAATTTTCAAGCTTTTGCACTCAGGATGAAATGTCATTTTAATACGAATAAGACGACTGACTGTATGTACAAGCCAAGTTTCAGTTCTCGTTTATCAGAAACATCAATCCAAAAGAAAGCTAAATTGAGAACAAACTTCTATGTGCATTTGAAGTATGTACAGTAAAAACACCAACACAGCCTCCATGTGTCAACTAGAGAAAAATGCGAGCAAGATGAGTTTTCAAGTACCTGGAAAGCAATCCTTAAACTGAAGCCCAAAATAAAGCTAGAAAACTGCTGCAAAAACAGCTGATTGCATCATATCAAGTACTCAAAAGAAAATATAATTCTCAGTATGCCAGAGAATTAGCTTTTTCCTCCTTCAAATCCAGTGAAGTCATATTATCCAAGATATATTGAAGAACATTTTACATCCACTTAAGACAAAAAGAAAAAAAAGAAAAGAAAACCAGCTCCATTCTTGTGCTATATCAAGGCATACTAAACCCTTACTAGGTGTGTAGAAAATACGATGGATGAAAATCACTGATAATTCAAAATATGTTCTTCATAGGCGAGCCTAGACTACCATACATGGCACACAATACCAACAGAATGAAGAATAATCTAGGGAGGGTTCTTAGCTGTATGACGTAAGGGAGAAGAGAATCCGGTTTCCCAATTAATAAGCTACGAAGAAAAAGGTTCTGAACAGGTCACCATTTGGAACTTTGGGTAAATCTTTTAAAGTCTTTCAGGAAAATAGGTACAAGAACACTCGAGTATTTAAATGGTGCTCTCTTCAGCGACCCTACCTAATACGTCTATAAGTACAAGCATGCAAATATAGGTCAATCCACAGGCACATAGGATCCATGTTAAGAACAGTAAGATAGCTGTGATGAGCGGCACCAACAATTTTGATGACTAACACTCAAAAATGTGGCTTTCTGAATTACTAAATCAAAATCCTGAAGAAAGTTCCTGCTAGTTTTCGTCACACTGCTAAACACGAAAGTAGGCATGTTTTTCCCCCATTATTTTAGCTGAGCTCAAAGAATTTTTACAATATTTAGTAAGAAAAAAATTAAAGTATTTCCCCTTTTTAAATTTACACAGACGTTTAATTAGCTTTATTTACAGAGCGGTTTTTCAGTCTCCAATAGTGCCTAGATAGCATCATCAGGCAAGAGTGCCAGTTTTAAAAGAGAATCTATATAGAATCCTAAAAATAACAGATGGTGATGCTCCTCCAGAAGGGGCAAGCTGGACAACCGAAGCAGCTCTCTACATGGTTCAGTTACTCAGGAGTAATTCTGTTGCAGTCTCTACATCCCATGATTTTGAAGACAAGGCCACTATTACTGCATTCTGCAATGAGAAGACAAACAGTAAGGTGAACAGGTAAACAGTAACATTTTCAGTGTGTGAGCCTGCAACTGAGAAATGAAATGTTTGCAGATTTATCAGTTTATGTTATTCACCCATGTCTTAACTAATCATTCTCAGAGAGGTTATTTCAAAAAGGGTGAGAGAACTCAGATTTACTAATGCATTCGTTTACTGACAACAAAGCATCTCAGAACTCCAACTGTAGCCAAACCATATGATTGAACCTCCAAATTGAACAGAAATAGCGAGTTTTACTTCAACACTGGAATGGCTCCCTATATTGCCACATATGTGCTTGCCCCACTCCTGCTGAAAAACATTCAAGTTACATATCATGGAACAGCTTGGGTTGGAAGGGAACTCATGTATATACTTACCCTATCAAAGCCCATAGCACAAAGATTTTCTATTTTTCTGGTGTATTCTGGACTAGAAACTGGTGCTCCAGCATACACATGTGCCCAAAGTCGAGCTGTCTGTTTAAACATTTCTGGATTTTGTTTGTACTATACAAAAGAAAGAGAGGGGAGAATGGGAAGTTAAGTCAACTCAACAGTCCAACCAAAGAGCACGATGATGCAGCAGGTTCCATTCCATAATTCTCTCTGTAACATCTTCAACACTATTTCAACCCTATTTCACACTGATCCAACTCAAGTTTTTGAAACAATACTTGGAAGTGAGCATTACATATAGTTAAAGCCTATACAAGTATTTAATGTGTTTGCCTTATGTTAATGACACACTACAGGTGCTCGTACAATCCAATAGTAGCTCTCTCAATACAATGTTCCTGACTGCAGTACCAGGAAGGACTACAGCAGCTGAATTTAGCACAGCTACCAAACATTTCTTTCAGTGCAGCAAAGCATGAGCTACTCCCATGTCAGCAACTGCTGAATGTATGCATCATGCTGAACTTTTGTGTATATCTCTCATCACTGAAATGATGCCTGGTTTTGTACACTGCAAGGACTTCTGCTTTTCAGAGAGGACTGACTTTTACTACATAACCTCCTACTCAAAATACAGATGTAAGGGCAGCATGTTACCATGAAAAAGGGCTGAAAAAAACAGGTGAATGTGCAAGAAACTAGGAAATTGCAACTCTGCAAGCTATTGCTCATCAGACAATAACATTTAAATACACTGCATAATTTTATTTTGCACCAATCTTGTCACTAGCAGGTTTTTCAGCAAACAACAGAATGATCATTGTAAGAGCTTTTGGCCTGTGCCAGGAACTCAAAAGCCAGGAAAGTGGGTCATCTGTCATGAACTGTATACAACAAAGCAAGATGATAGCTTCCTGTTCCAGCAACTTTCATCTAGAAAAATCAAGTTTTAAATCTCCATAACCATACACTGCCTTTATTAAAAGAACACTTTTTCTCCTTAATCATTCCTCCTGAAAAAAGTTTTCCCATCCTTACCTATATAATAAACATTATCACTAAGATAATGTGACAAGATACTGGAAAATACACAATTTTAGAGTCATTTTAAGAACAGAAACACAACCAATTATCATTCTGGTATTTTATCCATACATCTAAACAATCATACCTGTAAAGTACCAAGTCAGTACTACTTACATTTCATTTTACCTTTCCTACAGCACAGCAATTCAACTGCATCATGAGCTGTGTACACCTCCTGCTAACTCTGCTCCCCACAAAGAACCCCACATAGTCATTGACTATTAATGGTGTTAAAACAAATAGAGAAGATAATCTACTGGTAGAAATAACTCTTACATAAACAGTGGTCTCTAATACATTTTTAATCTTTACAACTAAACAAGTGAGGAAGCAGTAAGGGTAGCATCAGTAACATCCCAAAACACTATATTTTTTCTACTGTCTTAAGAAAACTTCCTTTTTTTTTTTTTTTGAAGGATTTGAAAACATTGAGAGATCTAATAAGCAACAAGCTGAAGCGGAAAGGATTGAAGTCATGTTTGCATAACTGCATTTTATTCAGAACTAGCTTTCAGTTTCCTATAAATAAAACTCCTTTACTTAGGTATCTGTAAATAATCTGGCTTCTCACTGAATTGAGAAGCACACAATCTCTTACTGATGTCTCTGTAGTGGGAATCACAGTCAATTATGCTGCTGTACTTAAAAACCAGCTGCAACTAGTCAAGTATGATGCAGTAGTTTTGGCACCAGGCAGTGTCTGGCAGGTACCTGAAAACACTGCCATTATCTGAGCAGGAGTAGAACACTGTGTTCAGCCTGGGATTCAGCTGAAACACGTGTAGGAAAATACTACCTTGTACCTCATCTAGCAAATAATTATATAAATTAGCAAAGTAAAACAAAGAATGAGCATGCAAGACAAATAATTCCTTATTAGATTTTGTTTTCAAGAAGATTTTGGGGGATAGTAGAGGGGAACAACAGGATGGGACAAGACAAATGACCTGGAAAAAACAAAGACCATGCACCATTATGTGGAAGAACTGGATGTTAACCTTCACCTCTCTCAGAGGAATTATAACAACCTTCTACTTACATACACATGTAACTAAAGGCCAACCTGCTGGCACAGCAGATTGGCCCTTCACATAGATATCTGCAGGGGAGAAACTCAATCTTCCCCGCACCAGCCGTGCCACAGTCCCACCACACACATCCCCAAAGGCCACCTGGAAAACTGCAATTCAGAGTCCAGGAAGCTTCATGAAGCTTTCTATCTGAGAGAAAACAATTTCCAGCTGAAGTGTTTCTATGAGATTGTTGGAATTTTACTTTCAGCAGCCAGAATAGGAAGCTCTATTTTTGTTCTTTGTGAAAAAGGAAAACGTAAAACAGCTTTTCCACTAACAGACAAAATGGGTTTCCTCCGTTCTCCACGTTTCCCTCTAAAACCAGACAGCTTTGATAAACTGATTAACTATCATCCTATGTAGACTAGACTTAGGAGAAAGGAGTACACACTTCTTACCCTTTCCTGGAGTGTGCTGACTTACAGGAGATATAGATGAGATTAATGCTGGAAGAACTTTTTACTTGCTTGAGATTTTTGTTACTGAAATATATCCTTATTATCAGCAAATGCAAAGCAAAACCTTCTCTCTCCCTCCCTCCTTTCCCCCCAAAGAAAAAAGAAAAAATACATGCATACTTGGTATTTTGCTGAAAACTGTCAAATGATTAAAGACATGGAAAGATTTTTCCTATCTTCAATCAACATTTTAAATAGCACCAGCTATTATTTCTTATAAATTGTTGCTACTGTCTGGAGAATAACAAACCTTGCTGATTACATTAGAATTCCATTAATACATATTCAACCAGACTAAAATAGTTAACCCAAGTACTTGCAAAAGTAAAATACAGAATGCTCCTTTCAGATTAAAGGTGTCTCATGAGTAGTGACTTGTAGCATTTAATCCTAAGATTTTTGTTTTTAACAAATCAACACTCAGCAGTATTCATACTAATCTAGAAGAGGAGCTACAAGCCAATTCAAATCCAATAAACAGGTTATAAATTGTTTCAGTATAAAAACAAATGTTTATATTAGTCTTAGATTTTCCCAGAATCATAGAAAGGCCTGGGTTGAGAAGAACCAAAATGATCAAGTTTCAACCCTGCTATGTGCAGGGTCACCAACCACTAGACCAGGAAGCCTGGAAGGAAAGTTTAAAAGGAAAGGTATGTTGGAATTCATTTTACCATGCATAGTTATCTCCTGACATTTCTTACAAGCTAAATGAGGAACCAACAAAAAATACATCTTTCACACTGCACAGTAACTGCTACTTACTTTGGAATCCAGAGAGTAAAGAACAAAATACTGTAGTAACTCACACCTACTGTAAAGCAATTTTCAAATAGATGATTGAAAAATCTTTATTGACTCCACGATTCCAAACTCAGTTCAAGTTGATGAAGGTTACAGAAATGTTAGCAATTCAGTCAACTGAGCCTCTTACCTGGTTTGCCACTACTGCGTCTTGTGGATCGTCTGGTTCCGCAGCAGCCAACAATGCTTGCAGAGATAACAACACTGTTCTTAGAGTCATTGCTGCTGCCCTGAAATTAGAATTGGATAGTGACTTTACCAAATCCCACACCTCTAGACACCTCTGCTGCTACCGTCATAAAACAAGAGATATGAGAATATATAGAGAGATTTTAAATCTAGAAGTTAGAATCTTGAACTGGTACAGTATAGAGGTATTAAAACAGCTTAATTGAAGTGAGCTTTTAAATGGGGACTTGGTCATTAACAGTGCTTTAAGTATGTGGAAAACAACCCTTGACCTACACAATTGATCTTACCCACATAACAGAATTCATTTCACTTGCTCAAAAGAAGAAGTTAGCTTGAAGTTTGTGTTGTCCTTCCTTACCACCCGTAACAGCACCTTGCTCAGTCTCTGGGAACCAAACTGTCAGCCAATGCGTGCTCCCTCTGCTGGCACTCATTATAGCAAAATAGCATATAGAGAAACAGTGACCTATCCTTAAAATCCTTATACCAGATAAGGAATTTTACACATTTTTTGCATTGCATCACTTTACATTTCTTCCCCCCCATCAAAGTTAACAATTTACATAATAAATCACTACCACAACAAATAAAGGTTGGACAATTACAGAAGCATACAACTGAAGGTACTCTCCCAACTTCCTCTCATTTCAACATGATACATACACTACTGACTGTTTTAACCAGTCGTCCCGGTTTCAGCTGGGATAGAATTCCAGACAGTATAAGAAAACATTTCTGTAGAAATAATGGTGCTCTAAAGGCGTTTGACCACCTCTCTGAAAGATGCTTGTTGAAGATAACACGGCTCTGGAGTCTACACCATTCATCTCCTAAGAGTTCATCATTTACTTTCATCTCAATGTCTATCGAGAATAAGAGATTTTAATCGCTTTTAAAAGGGAAAACCAGGCATGTATCTAAAGTCAATCATCACTCAGAAAAGAAGAATGAAACAGTGCATTATTTGCACACTAATCTGTAAAGATGTAACATTTCAAATGAACAATTTCAATAGATTTTGATCATGAACACCATCTCTGATCTACCATTCCAGCTGGCACATGTTGGCAACCACATCAGGACCCCGCTGTGCTGAGCAGTTTAGCAGACTCAGATCTTCAAGGTAATACACAAAACTTTCAACCTTTTATTAGCATTGAGGCAGTGGAAGTGGAAAAATGCAACATCTTAGATTTGAGTTAGACAGTTACAGTACATGAAATGCTAAAGGAACATTGTGAAAAAAGCATAACCAATCAACACAAGCATCAATTAACAGAAAGTTGCTTCTCCTTTTCCAGAAGGCTGGAAGTAAATGCAGTGAGTTTGTTAGAATGGGTAGAGAGGAATTTCATCCGTTGGTCCAGATAAAATTGCTGTCTGTTCCTTTTTGTATTTCCAGTGTCAGATTTCAGAAGCTTGGCTATTTTCCAGTACTGATGCACTGTCTTGACATACGGCAGAGTGCACCTATGCTGGTAAGGTGTCAGAGGTACATGTGTGACACTTGAGTACTATATTCCTAGCTATATGCACGTAAGGCTTTCCTCCTATGTTGCTAACTAGTCCAATTAGGCATTCCTCCCTAATTATGTCAAATTCTTAAGAACTTTTCCTAGAAAGTTAACTTAAAAAAGCAACTTGATAATTGCTGAGATTTCACAGCCTAATGTTCCACAACAAAATGCAAGTGAGAAGCAGCATCCCATGTGATAGAGATTTTAATTAGCACACACTGTCTCATTCCAACTGCTACATCAGCTTCAAGTCCCCTCAAGCACTCAGCTTCGTACACTTAACTCTTCAAAATGTAACCCAAAAAACTGAAAAGCCCTAACACTTCTAGAAGATCTGTATTCTAAGAAATCAAGTATTTCAGCTTCCTAGCTGAATGCTTCTTTAAATTACAAAGCTGGGGATCAACTAGAAGGATGCTTAATCCAATAAGAACATCTAGTTACTGAAACACGGCCTCAGCTGCATGAAGAGATCCTAGCTAACTCAGTAAACTCTGCATACAAACCATCTTGCTTTTCCATACCTAAATCACACACATCAGAAGACCCTAAATAGCAGAATTGAAGTATTTTTGCATTACATGCACCTGTGCTATTTTACTCTTACAATCTTCCTCTTCTCTGCCACCTCTAAGACCATTTTGAAATTAATCTGCCCAACACGTACATTGCTGGCACAACCCACAGGATAACTGCTAATGTCAAATGACTCTTGATGCAATGTATTGACTTCTCTGACACCCAGGTGTCAACAGACCACCAAACTTTCTCACCTTTCTGAGCTCAAATGGATGTAACCACTTCCATCTTCTTGCAGGGAATTTTGGAAGCTCCCACAGCCACTACATGCTGTTAACCCAAGGTCCTTTTCTCTCAGTTGTTTTATTACACTGTCTAGGATTATTTGTTTTGGGGAAAGACACTTAACATGAACTATCAACTGTAACTGACACTGTAATTACACTGTCACCAAAAAAAGCTGTTCCAAACTTTGTCTCACAGAAATCATTCTACTTCAGGTGTTTGAAAATACTACCATTATTTAAACTGGACTGGACAGGACTCATGAATGGAGTTCTGACCACACATGCTGCTTTTACAAGCAATTTACTTTCATTTACACTGTACCTTCTAGGAACAGAAAGAACAGCACAGCAGGGGCACTGCCAAGGACAAGAGGTGCCATGGAGAAACAGAGCACGAGTCCCGGCATGGCTCCTGCTGGCTCTGACTTTCCAGACTCATCTCTTGTTTGTAGACTGAGATGGAGCATCTTGGGACCTGAACTTCTGACACTCCAATTTCAAGAATGGATAACAAAAATACATGCTTCATTTGTGTGGATATACAGATGGCTGACAACTCTCAGAACTCACTCAAAATTAAAGACATGACTGGATTTGCTTTATATGTTAAAAGGTTTTAAAGTGTAATTTAAAATTTACTTTCATTCCTCAAAATGGCTTCTTCATCTCATGCATAAGACAGCCTTCATTTGACACAAGCACCTGAAGAAATATTTTTAAGTTATAAAAGAAAACCAGCTACAGTTTTAGCTTTTAATAGTGTATAAATACATGCACACTTTTTTTAATGGAAGGAAAATCAGGTTTGTGGTTAACGGTAAAAAAAAAAATCTGACATTTACTGTAACTACCATATACTCAACATTTCCTACCTTTAGAACATAAATTAGCTTTGCTGATCAAGAGGCCAAAAGTCTTTTTATTTTCTATGTAGATGAGGTTTAATTTTTTCAGAAGCAAATTAAGATTCCCAGAAGAAATTGGAAGGACAGTTAAAAATAGATTAACATTTTCCAATTTCCTTAAAAAAAAAGCCACCTTTTTTCTTCCTATTGCCTACTTCTGGGATAATAAAGTGAACAGAAATGACTGCTCAGAATTACATTCACAAACACCAGAAAAAAGCAGCAGGACCTGTTCCTCATTAGCAGAAAGCAGAAACAAGTGTCATCATCAGTTCTGAAGAAAAGCAGGCTGAGAGTGGCAAAAACAAACAAACAAGAACACACACCCAGCATCACCTCCCCAGAAGCTGGACAAGAATGTGCTACAAGAAAAGTTGAGGATTTTCTTTAAAACCAACTTCCAGAAGAAAGAGATTTTCCACATTTTCCAGTGTTCAACAGCAGTCTATTTTTCAGGAATACAATTTCGAACAAAATACTTTGAACTCTTCTTATACCTGAAGCTCATTTCTAGGCGTGGATTTATAACTCAACCTATCATCAAGTTCAAGCAATTCCCTTTAGCAATGGAAGCTGCAAGTTTGGGTTTTAACTCCCTCCCCTCCTCTTTGCCAGAGGCAGAGTATTCTATCACTCCTGACAGACTTTTGTCTGATATCTTTGCCTCACAAGTTTCTCAGAAAACCTACTTTGATGCCTCACTGCATTTGCTGATTGGCATGCTAGAACAACTAATCTTTCATAGGTCATATTTGCTTAGGCCATCATTCCTGTTATTTACTCTGGGTTTTTCCTATGGTTACCATCTTTCGTGGAACACAGTGCTCAGAGCAGGTACACAAATCCACCTGAAGTCTTACCGCTTATAAATAAAAAGCAGGCAGTTACCTGATGCAGGTAAGCCTCTTGCACCCCAGTCTTCTACTAGCTTTGTATCTCAGGACTTCAGGACCTCTTCAATTACACTATAACCTTTGACCCTATCCCAAAATGCTCCTAAGCCTCTAGGCAGGCCTGCTGTCTTGGAATCTATAAAATGGGTGGGAAATGTGAACTTAGAATTATAATCCCCACTTTGCAGCTCCTATCCCCCCAAGTAGGCTTTCTGATGGCATGGCACTTGGTAAACATGCAAGGATACTGCAGGGAAACTGCACTGCTAAGGAAAACCTGGATGCTGATGGATATGCAAACGTGCACTTTTTTTTGTTTAACATCTTGGGGACATTTCCATTAGAAATAAGCAGCCTTAGCTGGGGATGAATACAACAATATTGAAAGACATGCCAACCCAGTTGTGCTCAGCATGCCTGAGGTAAGAAATCTCCTACCTTTTGATGAGCTGAAAGAGTCCTAAGAGGATTACGAATTACTCTCTCTCCCCCCAACATCATCTTTAAAGGCTAAGTAATTTTTCTATTAAGGAAGATTTTATTTATGTTCTGCACATTCCTCTTTGAAAACAGCCTCTCTGGTACTCCACCTGAGAGGCAACCCAGCAGAACAGCAGGAACAGCTGCAGCCAGCAGATTGCCGTTCCAGTCTGTCAACCAGGCATGGCTACTGGAAACATTTATTATTATTACTATTAAATAATCTGCAGTATTTATTCAATTTATAGAATAACTGAACTTGTTAAGCCTAGAGAAAAGAATTTGTACCAGGGGTTTACGGAATTTGGATGGGGAGAAGAAATGAATGAGGCCTTTGAGTGGAAGCCTGTTGTACAGTCACTATTTAGAGAAGAAATACAAGACTGGATGGAGTGGACATCGACATTGGGATGGGGGGAAGTGGCAGGCTTACTGCAGAGTTCCTTCAAACAACTGTTAATATTCTCTGCCTATTTTTTCAAAGCTCTGAAAAGGCTCAGTGTCCCTCCAATGAACTGAGCAAACTCCAGCAGATTTAGATGCCCAAATGATTACTTGCTGGCTGTTGCTTATGTACCTATTCAAGTTACATTATCTCTTATAATGATTTTGCTTATCAACTAAAACTGAAGGTTGAATGCTCCAGTACAGCCACTACCAAAAAAATATTCTTATAATTCATTTTTATATCACTTGTCAAAACCATAACAGCTAAAAGTTTTTTGTAGCATTGTACACAACCACAGCATGTCTGCCTGAAAAATCACTGCTCAAGGGACTCACGTAAAATAGCTTCCAAATAATTTAGCGCTCAGGTTTCAGTTGAAAGTCTTGGATACAACTTACATTTAAGAATAAAATTCAGGGATAGAATACTAGTGGGGAAGATAAATGCAAGCTACGTTAAGTGAAACCACAAAAGAGTTAGATCAGACCAGCATAAATGGTATTCTTTCTATAAAATCATATCTGCATTTTAATTCTACTGGTAAACAATAGCAGTTTTGCAAACAAACTGGCGTAACTGGTATTTACACACAAATACAAAAATCCACAGCTGCAGAGAATATCAGCATCAAGCACATACTGCAGAGAAAATGTCATTAAACTCATTAAATCATCTAAAGGCATTACTTTACAAGCTGATAGAAGATCCTGCCAATAACAATATCTCAACCATGCTCATTAGAATAGAAAACTGTTACCATGGGTTGGGAGAGAAGGGGAGAGATGTTTTAACTGTTCAAATATATGATAATAGTTGTATTTGCACTCAACACATACGTGAGCATTATCATTGCATTATCAGCAATACACTGATGAAAATGGTATGATATCAGTGCTCCTTGTACCAGACAGTTTAAATACACATAAGGCAAGATGTTCTTCAAATATCCCCATTTTGGATACATCTTGGTGAGTGAAGGTAAAAACATTCTCTTTATTGGCAGATGGAGATTAATAGATCTGTGCAAGATCTAGCTTCCAAAGATTACAAGAGTACAAGTTCAAATCTCCTCTCCTTCCTTTCCAAATTTCAGTTCATTATTTCTTTGGGCCTTAATGGTTGCCCATTGCTTTGATATTTTACGTTTTTCTTGTTGTTTTTCCATTTGTTTGTTTTAAAGTTTCATCAGCAACTGACAAGGCCAGAAACTCACCTGAAAGCTATTAAGTGCTCAACTCCTAAAGCAGCAGCTTTGGGATAAGAATGAATTGTGAGAATTTTTCAAGGCATTGCTGAAAGAACAGAAGACCTGTTCCAGGAATGGAAACACAAATGTGGTCTCCTGAGCCCCAGTCTGCTGATACAAAGGCAAGAACACCCACCCTTCTTCACAGGAAACACTAATTCATGAATGTATTAAAGTAATATGAAGATAACTTTATTTTTAATTTGTTAATAGGCTTTTGGTTTTATTTCAAAATACAATAAATAAGGAAGACCTCTGCTAAGGACTTCTTCCTCAGAGTTTTCAACAGAAAATGGCAAATGTCATTTTTGAAAAACAGAGAAGTGTTCAGGAGTTTCAGTACAGAAAGATTTAGCCTTGAAGACACTTGACGTCACAAGTCTAGGTACTGTGAGTAATGCAACCAGACAGGGGATAAAGTAGCAGCAAAAGATGGAAGGAAAAAAAAACAAGACTCTGAACTTCAGTGTTTTGGATAAATTCTTCTGAGGACAGTATTAATGACACTGCAACGAAGGTCCCATTAACCACCTTTGCTTCTAGAAATAAATACTTCACACATACTCACTATGTAAACCTTGTCTCAAATGAAAGAAACCTGCTCTCCCAGTGAGACTTATGTTCAAATCAATGAAAGGATCCCTGTTAAAAAGTCTGTTATTTTGCCAAAGCCAAAAACCAACCTACCAAAGAAAAAACCTCCAGTAGAGAAACCAGCCTGCCAGCTCTCTGCCCAACACATTTTCGCTGATCTGCCTTATGATCTCTCAGGAAACTGCACTTGCACAGCTGAAGAGCCATTAATCTCCAGCACAACTATAGAGGATGGTGCCAACATAAAAGTACAGTTATATAGCTTTAGCTATATAAGTTGCACAATGCACCATGTATGCTGAAAGATCCTATTGCCTGAAATATCACTAAAGTGCTGCAGGATTGTAGGAAAAAAATCAAGCAATTCCAAAAAATGAAGACAACAAGTAATAATTATATATGCTTCTTACAATTCATTTTGCTAATTTATACCATACTCTGCCACACGCGCAGCAGAACTTCTCATCATGTAAAAATAAAAGTATACATCAGCTGCAAGACCTCAACTCAAACTTTCTGCTCTAGAGTTTCTCTTTCAAACCCTGCTGACACCTGCTTGGCCAATACTATTCTTGATGAAGCTCGGGAAGTTACAAGCATTTGAAGCTCATGTGAATTAGACAGTGATATTATCTAGCTGGGAATTACAGTCCCATTTCTTTGGGACAGACGCGTAAGAGTGAAATTCATCTTTCTTTTCTTTCATTGGATATCAGAACAACGATACAATCGATGCACACATTTCATACTGCTTGAAGATTTTATCACTTGGGGAAAAAGGTATACAGTGAGTTCATCTCTTACTGTTTGGACAGATTTATTCCAAGGGTTTGGGCTATTAAAACATTTTAAATAACACAACAGTAACAAATAATCAGTCAGCAACTGACCAGCAGCTAAAAGGCAAAAGTTTAGAAGTTCAAATCATAAGAATTATCATAACTGAGATGGAACCAGTATGGCAGTCTTCTCCCTTTCCTATTGTCCGCCTGTTACCTTTCATACTCCCAGACTCCCAGCTCCACACATAGTTTTAAC